TTTTTAAAGATGAAGCCTCACTATATTGCCAAGGCTAGTCTGGAACTCCTGGGCTCAAAGGATCCACCCACCTTGGCCTCCCAAAATGCTAGGATTACAGGTGTGAGCCACTGTGCCCGGCTTCCGCTTTCTTCATAGCACTTAACACCATCTGCTTGTCCTGTCCATGAATTTTATTTGTTTCAATGTCTGTTTCCCTCTTCTGAAATGTAAGCTTCTGAGTGTAATGGAGGAGCAAGGGCTTTGTTCACCAATGTATTTCCAGTGTTAGAACAGTGCCTTGCACACTGTGTGTCTTCAATAAAGATATGGTCAATAAATCAATTTCTTTAATCCTATACCTCTGTTTTATGGATGAGGGAGTTAAGGATCACAAAGGGGAAGTGACTGGCAAGAAGTCACATAGCTAGTTGATGCGACTTGAATTCGGGTCTCCAGCCTCCCAGGCTGGTTCTCCCACTCCACACTATTTTAATCTTTCACAGATTTACCTCTTTCCCTCTCTTCCTTTTTTCCCATATGACTAATAGTCTTTACGGGCTATGCTAAGATGGGCACACCAAGTCTTAACAGCTCCAACCTACTCTTTTCCTCCATCAAAGTCCTATCTTACCGTTTGATTTGTTCAACAGTACAGGAATGCCTACTATGTGATGGGATGATGATGCAACACTGAGCAAGACAGAAACAATCCTTGCCTTGGTGGAGATGATGTCTACTTCATAGGATTTATAGTGCTTGGCATACAATGCTCATAAAGAACAGCTGTTATAACTCACTACAAAAAAGTGATTTTCCCACTGAAGGTGTAGAGAAGGAAGTTACGTGGTTCTCACAGAACACCCACTTCCCTGGAGAAACTGACAATTCATTTCTCTCTGTAGCTGCCTTGCCGTGCTCCTGCCTCCACTTCTGGAGGTGGCCTTGGCCCTAGACTGGGCAGAGGACCGGCCCAGTGTACCTACTCTCAGCAGTTTAGTTTCTAGACGCTACACTTTCCATGGCCCCAGTCCTATGGAATTGGAGTAGCTGATCCTAATCTGGGATGCTGGCTCTGATGTCATGCCATTGTGGGGCCAAAATGACCATACTGGCCTCTGATGAAAAGCAGCTATGCTTTACCAGAACTTTATGCTACTTCTTTTTGCTGTGGATAAAAAGGCATTCACGGCCGGGCACGGTGGCTCAAGCCTGTAATCCCAGCACTTTGGGAGGCCGAGACGGGCGGATCACGAGGTCAGGAGATCGAGACCATCCTGGCTAACACGGTGAAACCCCATCTCTACTAAAAAAATACAAAAAACTAGCCGGGCGAGGTGGGGGGCGCCTGTAGTCCCAGCTACTTGGGAGGCTGAGGCAGGAGAATGGCGTAAACCCGGGAGGCGGAGCTTGCAGTGAGCTGAGATCCGGCCACTGCACTCCAGCCTGGGCGACAGAGCGAGACTCCGTCTCAAAAAAAAAAAAAAAAAAGGCATTTATTGGCAGTTTCCAAGGATGCTGGGTGACATTTACATCCATCCTGACACTTGAGGTGACACCAGTCAGGTGTCATTTACCAAAAGCATCCTTTTTGGCCTCTGCCTGATCACTTGAAGATGCCCATCCACCCAAGGACAAAGACTCTGCCTTGCCTGCAACTGCAGGAGCCAAACACTCATCATTTAAAGCCCATGGTCACTAGATATTTTTCACCCTTCCTTCAGTGTTTGCCTTTCAATAGTTAGAAAACCTTGACCCCACTGAGAGGCCTAGTGGGAAGGCCTTAGCCACTTGGGGGTGGCAGTGGCTGCAAGGCAAAAGAGCCAATGAGGTTTAGAGTATTGTTTAGGCTGGACTTGGCTGCTCTCCAGCTATGAAAGAAGGTTAAGGTCATTTGGGGGGTGGGGAGGGAGGAGCCTGGGAAAAGAACTACTGGCCACACCCCTGGGTTCTCTGCTGGCTAGGTTCTATTTACTTCTCAAAAGCAAATTACTCACAGCTCACTGGCCAGCAGTTCTCTTGGCCATGGTAACTCCAGTCAGAAACTGGAACCAGGCTAGGCTCTCCCTGCATTGCAGGAGAGCAGATGAAAGGAACCCAGGAAACCGAACTCCTAGGTAATGCTCCACACACAGTCCAGATATGCACTTTCTAGACTAGCAAACGGAGCTCGAGACCCAGAACAAAAATAGCCATTAGCAATATTGCTTACCAAAATTGTAGATATGAAAAACTTCCCATTTAACTTTTTCTAGAAGAGTCCTAGGAAGGCATCTTGGTTGACAAAGGTTTTCCTTTCTCAATTGAGAAATACTAATTATTCAAATCCTGTTCCTGACCCAAATATTAACAGCCACACTTAGTCTGATGAACACTTGATTGAAATTCTTAGGACAATTTTACCTTGTGTTAAAGACAATAAAAACAAATCTTGCTTGCTGAGCTCCACAGCTAGATCCCTTACTCCTGGTTGGGTTCTCATCCAGAAAGGATGGACATCCAGAAAGACAGGACATTTTAGCTTTGGCATGTTCAAAGTAAACTTCCAAGCAGGGATGACAAGAAAGAAGGTAGTGTGGCATATTAAGAAAAGCATGATCCTTGGAGTCAGGTGGAACTTGCTTGGTGTATGAACTTAGTCTTTCACTTTTCTTAGCCTCTTTCTTCAGCTGTAAAATGGGAGCCACATACTGACTTCACAGGCACAGGATTGTTGTAGGATTGTGATGTGTTATGTCCAGAATATAAGTAGGTACACAATAGAAAACTGTTGTTTGTTTCAGATTTCACTTCTAAGTGTCCACAGTAATAGCATTTTTTCTCTCACTGCTTCTGATTTCTCCTGAGGAACTTGAGGTTTCTCAGTTTCCCTAAGGAAGGGGGTGAACAGAGAAACTATACATTGTGACATTAGCCTCATAAAAGCAACTGCATCTAGCCAACATTGACAGTATCATTCAACTACTACTTAAGTAGATGCTATGTGCCAGGCTGTATGTTAGCACAGGGATGCACCAGAGAACAAAATAACCCTCCCACCACCCTCAATTTACATTTCAGTGGAAGGTGACAGGTAAGTATAACTTGTAATAGGCCAGATGGTAACAAGTGCCACAGGAAAAATTAGGCAGACAAGGGAAATGTAGTGGGGGGGCAGAGATTGCTATTCTAAGTAAGGTGACTAGGAAAAGTCTTACTTATGTATTTGGACAAAGACTTGAAGCAGCTGAGGACTTGAGCCATGCAGTTATTTGGAGAGAGTAGAAAGTACAAAGACTCCAAGGTGGAAACATCTCTGTACAGTGGGGTGAGCAACGGGCAAGACGGATGGTGCAGGAAAGGTAGAGGTAAGCTAGATAACTCAGGGCCTTGTAGGCCACTTTGAGTCTGGATTTTTACTTACTCAGAGCCAGAAGCACTGAAGGCATTTTATCTGACTTACCTTTTGTAGGGGTCCTTTTGGTTGTTCTGTTGAGAATAGGTTCAGCCAGGCAAAGCAGAAGCAGGGAGGCCAATTTGGAGGTATTTCAAGAATCCAAGATGTAACAGTGTCTTGAACTACAGTAGTAGTGCGGGATTGAGGATTACTTTATGAAGAGTGCTAACAGATTGGATGTGGAAGTGAAAGAAGTCAAGGATTTTTTTGGCAAGTGATAGAATGGAGTTGCCATTTACTGAAAGGAAAACACAAAAAACCAAAACTATGGTAGAAGCAGGTTTCTAGTGGGGGAAGACAGGACATTTTAGCTTTGGCATGTTCAAAGTAAACTTCCAAGCAGGGATGACAAGAAGATGGCTGAATGCTCTAGTCTGGAGTCAGGGAAAAGAGCCAGTCCAGAGATATTACAAGTGATTAAGTTGGAGGTTGCCTCCAGATAAATGGTTGTCTTATTTTGGACAGATGCCACTATTTAGGGGAGATCTCACACTAAGGGAAGTTTGCAAAAACAGGACTACCTCCTACCCCCCAACAAAGGTCAAGTTTTAGTTTGAAAATAAAAAGCTTCACAAAAGTCTTACCAAGATTTAATGTACATTTATTCTTAACACGTGGAACATATAGTATAAAGATTTCATACTGAATAAATGATATTCATTAAGCCAAAAAAGGAAAAAAAGGAGGAATTTACATCAAGTTTTAGCTACATTGTTGAAATACAAATATGCAGATTTTATCACTGAAAAAATCTCAATTGTGTTTCTTCATCAGAACTTCAACTGAACCTAGAACTTTTTCACACCTCGATTAGAAAGAAAACAAAACAAAACAAAAACCCAGAAAAAAATAAACTATAAGTTGATTGGCTGCTGAGACAGCAAGGACTTTTTACAGAGACCTGTACAGCATCGCACCAAGAGGGGCGATGTCTGGCAAGAGATTAAATAGCTGTGTCTCGCTTTGTGCAGGTCACCAACTTGTTAACTCGTCATACTATAAAGGGGTAGCTGGGATGAGGACCAAACTGTGGGGATCCAAGGGTATGTGCAATGTACAACGTCATATATATACACACGTGGCAGCGCAGCCGCTGCAGCTAAAGGTTAAAACCAGTTCTAAGAGGTGATCTCAGGGTTATTCATACAATCAAGGAGGAGAGAAAGAGGTCAGGGTGTTGTAGGTTCACACATGATACTTTGGGGGAAAAGCCTTTTTTTTTTCTCCTCAACGTTTAACTAAAAACATTTTTAAAAACTACAGCTTGCTGCTGACCCAGCGTTTTCTCTTGTTTCCATGTGAGACATTATTATTACAGTATGTTTACAGTATCAGGTGTACAGTACAGTACATGAAAGGGTCTACACTCTACTGCACAGGCCTCTCCAGTGAACAGGGTCTGTTCACAACTGCGAACTTCTTGGCTCCTGCAAGATTGTGAATGTACAACAATAAACCACACACAGTTCAGCAGTCACCTTTTTTGTCCTTCAGAATTTTTTTTTTGTATTTTTTTCCTTTTTTTTTTTTTTTTTACCATTAAAAACAGTTATGAAATGTGGCGTCCCGTTGATGCAAGGACTGGGAAAGCCATTTTTATTTTATTTTTTTTTCCCCAAACTCACTGTAAACAACAGTAACTTTGGTTAAAATAAAAAAAGTCTTCTATGTAGGCAGAGCTTTGTCTTTTCAAAGAGGGTGGGGTGGGGTCCTGAGGGGAGTAAGGTGAGGACAAGGAACAGAAAGGCGTGAGGTGGTGGACGGGGGGAGGTGGAAGGAGGAAAGAGAAACAGGAGAGACTTTTTCCCAAGGGAGAAGCTGGACAGCACAGGGTAAACTGGATTCTGAGGTGGTTTTGCATAAATAAAGGGCAACAGTCAGTTTCTAAGTTCTCCACACACGCACACACACACAGGGGGGGAGGTGTCCCACGGCTGTCATGACTGGCCAATCAAAAACAGTACATCACAAATGACTTGTGAAACCAATGAGTTCATCAACGGTGATACCGAGATGTCCAACAGCCGTGATTCGTACAGAGTAAACTCTGAGTGGTTCTCGTCCACCTTGGCCAGGGCAAGCAGCGCGCGGGCAGCCCGCCGCATCATGTCCACACTAGTTGGCTCAAAGGGTGGGTTCTGCATGTGGAGGAGGCTGGCCTGGCTCTGCTGGAACTGCGTGGCGGCAAGGCTGTCCTCTAGGAAGCCCAGGAGGTTGCCGATACTGCCCTTCTGCACTGCAATGGCACGAGCTGCCAGGCTGTCCCCCTGAGCCAGGTTGGCCAGCAGTACCACAGCCATCTCCCGGCACACCGGGTTCTTTCGGTCACTGAGGAAGCGCACCATAGTGCTATACAACTTCTCCAGGCGACTGAAGGGGGGTGTGGCCAGAATCAGGTCCACATTGTTGTCCTGGATGCTGAGTTTGCTGAGGGTTTCCAAGACCAGTCTCTGCGGGGAAAGGACGGCATTGGGGCCCAGGGTGGAAAAGGGGTCCTGGGCTTCAGCTGAAGGGCAAACTGCCCAGTGTAGGAGTCCGTCCAGGACAGGCAGGCAAATGCTCTCGGGGTATGGGGATAGGTCCAACTGCCCCGAGATGTTGGCGAGTGTAACCAAGGTGTTTTCCCGGAGCATCTCCAAGCAGTCCCACCACCACTCCACTTTGTTGCAGCTCACCCCTTGGTCCTGTTCCTCCTCCTTCTCGTAAGTTAGTGGTGCCTGCTTCCGTTCTGGGTGCTTGTGGTGCAGCAGGATCAGCTTGCCCAGGATGAGCAGCAGCCCTGGGTGTTTGGACATCTCAAAGTCATTGCCTGGCACAAATGACAGGCTTCGAATGGTATTGGAGACACAGACACAGCGCTTGGCAAGAGAATCCTGCCAGTCCAGAAGGGTACACAGTGGGGTCTCATCCTTACTGTGGGGTTCGTCCTCTAGGATCTTGATATTCCGGTGGCTCTGTGCTGGGCTAATGCCAAATGGAAACTTGCTGCTCTCCTTGATGGCCTCTGAACTCTTAGCTCCATCCTCGGTCAAGGTGCTAGACCGAGTAGACAACATGTCATCCATAGTGGCTGTGATCCGTTTTTCTGGAGGTCCATCAGGTGGGGGTCCCTCCTGGTCTGTTGTCCCTGGCGTACCCTCCGCTGTTGTCACATGCTTCCGGGGGGCTGGTGGGCAGGGTGCATGAGGCCGGGAAGGCAGCAGCTCTGTCTTGCTTTCGAAGTGGGTCTGGATATGCTCAGTGGTGTCCCCCCCACCAATCCGCCAGTGCAGCAGGCCACTGTCAAACTCCTGCACACGCCCAAGCTTATCTGAGCAGTCCACCACAAATGGGTCATTCTTCTGTACGATCTTTACTGGAAGCTTGTCAAACTTACTGATCAGCTTCTCCTCACTATTCTCTGAAGCTGGCTTGTCCTTGCCTGAAAAGGCTATCTCCTCATCATTTTCAACTACTTCCTCTTCTTCTTCCTCTTCTAGTTTAGGACCTAGAAGTTCTTCTTCTTCTTCCCCACCCTCCATGGGAGCTGGACTAGACACCTTGCTGAACCTCCCAGGATCCAGTAGCGTTCTCTGTCCTGGGTCACCCACCTCATACTCCTTTAAAATGCCAAAGATCTCAATCAGGCATCGTCGGAAATATTCTACAAGGAGCTCTAGCAACCCTGGGAGCTAAAAAGAGAAAGAACAGGAAATAAATTAAGGGATAAAAGTGGTCAAAGAACAGAATCCTTGACTTGAGAGACCTCCCCAAGTCTTCTGTATCAGCTGGGAGAGGCAGAGTTGCTCCTTTCCCAAAGGTTCTCCACAGAGCAAATTGTTCATCTTAATCTCTTCTATGCCCAACACAAAGTTCTTTCTTCTGCCCAACCTACCTTCACATAAGCCTATCTCCAGGAACACTAGCCAACAGCTTTGCACCTCACCCACCAGGGCCAGTCATCTCTTAGCCTTCTCTTTTCCCAATCAATCTTCTGCTGTTCTTCACCAGGCCAGTTTTCAACCTGGTGGTCACTGCCATTATCTCTTTTAGGACATTCTCTCCATCTCACTGCCAAGTGGAACCCAAGCTTAGGCATGGTGACTCAAGCTAAGAGAAGAGAATGCAATGTGGGCAGATGTTCATGGCTCTCTTCTCCAAGCTCCCCAATAGTCTAGGGGGCTGGAACTCCATGGATCTTGCAGCATAAGGAGTGGGATGAGGCTTCAGCTCTCCAAACACTGGTCCAAACTGGGGCTACAGAGACCCAAATTCCACCTTGGATAATATATAGGCCATTTATTTACCTCTAGAAGAAAACACTCCTCTGCAGTCACAATCTTTGGCTGAACAGTAGAGCAGATGGGAAAAAAATAGGGCTTTCAAATTAGATCTAGGGGCTGGAAGCAGTGGCTCACACCTGTAATCCCAACACTTTTTTTTGTTTTTTTTTGAGACAAAGTCTCACTGTCATCCAGGCTGGAGTGTAGTGGTGTGATCTCAGCTGGCTGCAGCCTCCGCCTCCTGGGTTCAAGTGATTCTTTTCCTGCCTTAGCCTCCCGAGTAGCTGGGATTACAGGCGCCTGCCACCACATCGGGATAGTGTGTGTGGGGTGTGTGTATGTGTGTGTGTGTATTTTTTTTTTTTTTTGAGACAGAGTCCCGCTCTGTTGGCCAGGCTGGAGTGCAGTGGTGCAATCTCAGCTCACTGCAACCTCTGCCTCCTGGGTTCAAAGTGATTCTCCTGCCTCTGCCTCCCAAGTAGCTGGGATTACAGGTGTGTCACCAGGCCCGGCTAATTTTTATATTTTGGTAGATATGGGGTTTTACCATATTGGCCAGGCTGGTCTTGAACTCCTAACCTCAAGTGATCCACCCACCTTGGCCTCCCTCCCAAAGTGTGAGGATTACTGGAGTGAGCCACCGCGCCCAGCCTAATTTCTGTATTTTTAGTAGAGACGGGGTTTCACCATGTTGGCCAAGCTGGTCTCAAATTCCTGACCTCAAGCGATCCTCCTGCCTCGGCCTCCTGAAGAGCTGGGATTACAGGTGTGAGCCACTGCGCCCAGCCGGTAATCCCAACACTTTGGAAGGTTGAAGTGGGAGAATCAGTTGAGCCTAGGAGTTTGAGACCAGCCTGGGCAACACAGTGAGACCATGCCTCTACAAAAAATAAGGAAGTTAGCTGGGGCGTGGAGCAGTGGCTCACACCTGTACTTTGAGAGGCTGAGGCAGGTGAATCACTTGAGCCCAGGAGTCTGAGATCAGCCTGGGCAACATGGTGAAGCCCCATCTCTCAAAATAATAATAATAATAATAATAATAATAATAATTAGCTGAGCATGTTGGCGTGCACCTGTAGTCCTAGCTACTTGGGAAGCTGAGGTGGGAGGATCACCTGAGCCTGGAAGGTCGAGACTGCAGTGAGCTGTGATTGCACCACTGCACTCTAGCTTGAGTAATGGAGACCCTGTCTCAAAATAAATAAATAGCTGGACATGGAGGCTGAGGCAAGAGGATCGCTTGAGCCCAGAAGTTTGAGGCTGCAGTGAGCCATGAGGGCACTACTACACTCCAGCCTAGGTGCCAGAGTCTCTTAAAAAAAAAAAAAAAATTCTGGCTTTTCCAGGAAGTAGCTGTATAAAATAAAAATTCCTAAACTTTACAGGGTTATTCTGAGGTGTAAATGGGAGATGTCAAATACCTGGCATATGAAAATTGCTCTATCAAAATTTTTCCTTTCTCATGGTAGGCAATAATATGCAATGGAAATAAAATCAGGCTTAGGAATCAGATAGATTCTACTGACAGCTATGTGAACCTCAACAAGAGTAAGACTCTGAGCCTATTTACTCATCCCTAAATGACTGTATCTCCTGTCTCTGAGGGCTGTTGCTAGGATGACATGAAACAGAATATTAAGGACCTGGTACAAAATAAGAGCACAATAAATGGTAACTATTAATGAGTCAGCTCCTTGATATACAGGTTGGTAGGTATTAAAGATGATCAAAAGAAAAAGAGTAGGATGATGCAGCACAAACTCTTTCCAGCACCTCTACTAGTGTGCACATCCTATGGAGGGTGGGTCTGAACAATCAGCTTTGTAAGAATATTGTTAAACAACCAAATCCCCCATCCACTCTACATCTAAGGACACTGGGATCAACAAAGGCCCCTACTGTTCAAAGAAGAAAGGGAAAAATGGAAACAATGTACTCTGCTCACTGATAAAAAGACCACAGATTCAGGCCAGGCCTGGTGGCTCACGCCTGTAATCCTAGCACTTTGGGAGGATCACTTGAACTCAGGAGTTCATGAACCTGGGCAACATAGTGAAACCTTGTCTCTATTAAAAAAAAACAAAAAACACAAGATTCTTCTAGAAAATGTGGTGTCCCCACTGGCATCAATAGAATCTGCATTCTTACTAATACCCCAAAGTGTCTCCCAAATTCCTTTTGAAGTCAATCCTGTGTTAAGGTACCATGTAAACAAATTATTATTGCTCTCAAGATCCTGGGCCCGTGCCCAGAGGCAAAGGAAGCAAAGTACTGGCATGGAAGATATCTACAAGAGTGAAAGAGAAAGACCATGGTGGCTAAAGATGAGACATTCCCATTGTCTACACTAAGAAGATCCCAAACCATCTCAATCTTCCCCAGGCACTGATACTCACCTGACTGAGATTGAAGGTCATGATGCTGTTGTCATCATATAGCAGGATGTTGATGGTATCTAATGCCCATGTGCTCTCTGCCAGGAGACCAGACTTGAGGGACATCATTACCCGCCATGCCTCCGGGGTTCCTGAAATAAACCTCCATGTCGTCCATCCACCAAGCCCGGGTTGGCTGCAGGCACCCCCAGGGTTGCCCCATCAGTGAGGCTACTCTGAAGATAACACAATGTAGAAGGCAGTTCCTGTCTGGGAGATGACACACACCAGCCCCTCATGGCTTCTAAGCTGTCTGTCTAGGACATCACTGCATGGCAATGTTTTGAAGGAAAACTTTTAGTTAGCTTATTTCTTCCTTTTCCAAAGTTCTTTGGTTCTATTTTAGTCAATACTGGACCAGATTCAACCTCATCCAGAATATTAAGGTGGAGGGAACAATGGACAAGACGGAAAGGGGCAGATTAGGCAACCGAATGAGGGAGATCTCCTTACCAATGTCTTTCATTGTGAGCCGCCTCCTCTGCTTCAACACAGGCTGTGTGGCTTCAACAGAGCCAGGTGGGAAGGTGATATCCCGCCGAATCATGGGGGGCTGCACAGGGGCAGGTGCTATGTGTGAGGCAGGTACTGGGGGACCTGCCTTCTGCATTTTCATCCCAGAGTGCAGGAATGGAGACTTGCTAGGAGAGGTGCGGTTCTCCATTGGCCGGGGCAGGGGAGCAGGGCTGGATACCTGAGGAATGTGATTCTGCATGCTTGGCGGGGGCTGGTAGTTAGATGGAGGGGGCCTTGTCATGGGGGGCACAGGGGCAGAGGGACCATATGGGGGCTGGCGTGTGCCATGGGAAGGCCACGGGCCTTCGTGGTTGGCCCTCTGGTCTGTGTGCAGCATTTCATCTGTTCGGTTCACGCCATGATAGGCGGGGCCCTGGGGAGCAGAGCCCGTGCTCTGCCTGTTGGCATAATTATAGGTCATGTCATTACGCCCCTGCCACATGGTGCCTTGCTGAGCAACCTCAGCTGATGCCTGTATGGGGCCGCCCATCATTTGCGGTGGCATGTTTTGCTGGGCATTGGTGCCAGGGGGTGCAGAGACACGGTCTCGGCCAAACTGGAATGGAAATTGGTTCTGGGGGCCGCCTGCTGGTCGGCGCTCAGTAGCAGCGGTGGCAGTGGCAGGATAGGCATTGCCATATTGGTTGTATACATCTTGCTGAGGGGAAGGCTGGGCAGCTTGTTGCTGGCTGGCAGGCTGGGGCTGGGCTGGGGGCAACTGCTGCTGCTGAGGCTGCCCCTGCCCAGTGCTGTATGGCACGCTGTACATCTCCCCTTCATGCCGCTTGGCAGGAGGGCCATATGTGCCATCCATTGGCCGCTTGTAATTCTAAGGCAGAGACAAGCAGAGGGGAAGTTAATACTCTGCACTCAGGGACATAAAGCCCACAGATGCCGAGATGGCTACAACTAGATGCCTGGTGGCCATAGACTCCAAGGAAACATGGGAATCACCTTAACAAATTATCTTTTGCAGTTGTTTCCAAAAGCAACCACCACTCTTTCTTCCCTTCCCTTGCTCTAAGTAGAAAAATATACAAAACCTAACGATCAAAATAAGGTCTATTTCTAGCCCCTTCCAACTCCAAATAGAGAAGAGATTGAGGACTTGGCTCTTCAAGCAGGACTGGCCAGTCAGGTGAGAGAAGAATGCCAAAATATCTAAAGTGAGCTTCTTAGACTTCAACACGTTAGTTTACTAACTAGCTTTCAAGACGAACCTGCATGCCGGTCCATTCCCAGCTACCCTCCTCACCTGCTGCTGCTGTTGATACATTGTGGTCTGCTGGCTGGGGAAGGGGCTGCCAGAAGGGGTACCTTGGGTGGAGAACTGATTGCCATAGGAATCATGTCTACAGGAGGCAAAGAAACACAGGATCAGGGTGGGCAGTGGCAAAGTCTGAGTCACAGCAGCACCAAGACCAGGCTTTACTCACCGTTGCTGCTGCTGCTGCTGCTGCGGGGGGTAGCGGCTAGGAGAATACATCCCCGAGTCTGGGTTGGAAGGCATGAGATTAGGCTGTGGGGCCCCAGTGCTCATGTTTCCCTCAGGCCCTATTCCAGGCTCCGTCCTAAACAAAATTGAAGAGACAGATTGAGCCCACTATAGCCTCAGGGTGCTGGCGGGTGGACAGGAGCTGGGGTCATGCTTACCTCACTCTGTCATAAGGACCTCCATAGGGATAGTGCTGTCGTGGTCCCATCGCCACATTTCCTAGCCCAGGGCCAGCAGCACGACTGTAGGGGTCACCCATCCCGCCGTTGGGGCCCTGCCCTGAGGACATGAAGGGATCACTCCCTGGAGCTGAGTGTAGAAAGGCAAGCAGTGAACAAACTGGTAAGTTGGCAAAGCTGGTAATATATATTTGCTCCAAACACCCAGGCCCTCTTCAAGTTTGATCTCATTGTTTTCCAGACAAGTTCAAAACACAGATCTAAAGAGGCCCCAACCAGCAAAAGACATGTACTTGTTAAGGGATGACAAGGTGAGGTCAAGGAGGAGACAAGAAAGGAGGTAGGGATGAAGAGGGGTAGTTAGGGCAGGAAATGCATTATCTCAGAAGATGGCTCCACAAGAACCCTGACCCACTCTCAAGATTTCCCACCATTTCACTGGTCCCATCTTTACGAGCACAAGCTCAAACAGCAATCAGATCAGTCACCTTTCCTCATGCTGCCATAAGGATCCTTATTTGGCTCATAGGACATGCGCCCCATCATGTCAGAGGTATTCATACTGGGCTGATACCCAGGGTTTGGAGTCATGGAATTCCGCTTCTGGAATGTGGAGTCACTTCCATCATTAAAGGCATCCTGGATCCCAACCGAATTGCTCCTGCTCCAGAGTGAGGAAAACCAGTTAGACCACAAATAGACCAATTTCTCCAATATAACACAGGACACGCAGTAGTCACTGGCTGGGAAGGCAGAGGCAAAGACCACCCTTTGGCTGCAAAGGAGTTCCCATGCACTTATCTCCAGCCATCCCTCCCAACCATCTGCCCCTGCTCTTGGCCATACCTCATGCCTGGCAATGGGGGGATCTGACTGTGTGGTGTGGATGCTGGAGTTGGTGGCTTTAAGTCTCCTCCTTCTGCCATGGAACTGCTGGTTGACTGAGGAGTCTGGGGCCCCTGCATAGATCCTGATCCCGCTGTGGACAGAGATACAATTTGAGCAGTTTGCTTGGCATGAAAGTGTTTAACTCTCACACAAACACACGAATGACCCAGAATCTCTTTGGGAAAGTTCTTCCTAAGGCCTTTAAAGCCTGATCACCCTTCTTAGCAGAGGATCTACAAGGCCAGGTCATAAAGACGGGAATTTGAGGGTTTTGTAGCTCTTTGTTTTTGTTTTACATGTAGAAAAGAGGAGTGTTGTGGCCATGACATCACCATGCTGGTGATTCCTTGAGTCACTGCCAGCTTCCCTGGCTATTTCTTTTCACTCCTCCAAAGGACCTTGTCTAACCTATTAAACCCTGTAATGCTGGCCCATGAGCTCCAGTCAGAGCCTCCCAAATCCTGGGTAGGGAGGGGCTTCCAAATCTGGGATGTATTTTAGGAGTCTAGGAGCTCCTGTTCTGAAGCATCCAGCTTGGTGTCATCTCTCAAGTTCAAATGTTCTTCTAAGCTGATGAGTACAAAACTACTAGTAATTAATGTTTCCAATAGTTACCACTCCTGGCAGTAGATATCCCACTGCTGAGGCCTCCCCAGCTGATGAGTCATCTCAGGCACTCATTACACCCTCAGAGGTCAACACCAGGGCACATGTGTTTACACCCACCTTCCAGGCACCCTGGTCTTCTTCCCTCTCTAGGCTCGCCCTAGGCCTCAGCCTCCTCTCAGAAAGGAGGGTGGGCAGAGGCACTCCCATCAGGGAGTTCCATTCATATCCCTTCCCCACTCCCTCCTTTCCATTCATTACCATCTCAGCTCCCTGGGGAATTCAGGGCTCTAGTCTGAGCTGCATTCTAAGGTGCTGACATCAAGGGGCCAAAGCTCCCAGATGGCCCTGTCTTGCTGCCATTTGTCAGTTCCCTCAACTCCTCTTGTGCCCCTCCCATTCACAACTTTACAAACATTTGGCAAGTTGCCAGCTGCACAACAAAAATTAAAACTTTAAGGGCTGCTGAAGAGTACCTCCCAAGGGAGTTTTCACTGCCCACTCTCTAGTCAGCCAACCTATTAAGCCCTGTGGTAGGGCAAGGCAGAGCACAGATCTTGGCATATCCTACTGGAGGCAGGTACCACTGAATATGAGGCCAGGGCAACAGGCCCTCTCAGCCTTGGTGGGGCCGCTGATCCCATCCTTACCAGGAGAGGGAGGCTGGATCTTGGGCTGCGACTTCTTGGAATCAGCAGCTGCAAAGATGTCTGGGGGAGGGTCTTCTCCCCGTTCAATCTTGCATTCAAAGGCATAGAGACACTGGATATACTGCTTTTTCAAGGAGCTGGCAGCACTGCTTGATGTGCCCACATTGAGGTTGGTTGCAAGTTCCCGCCATTTTTTGTTCTTGTTGACCTGTATAATCAAACCAAAAGAGTCGGGGTATATCTCCCGCCTGGTTTTCTGCCCGAAAGTCCCAAGCCCCATCAGGCTGCAAGGTATTCATCTTTGTAAAATCACAGTTCTTAGTTAATTAAAAAAGTTAAACTTGCTTGGTGGATACTCCATAAGAAGTGCTAAATCTGCAGCTGGCTTCGTTTTACCCTCAGGATGTTCCACTGCAACTATCAGACTGTGCTTATGCAAAACAGGGCAAATTTCACATTACTACTGGAACAGAATTCAGAGTCCAGTTTTTTAGTACACTGCTAAAAAATGGTGTACAAATCATCTGCATATCTAAATCCTTTTTTTTTTTCTTTTTTTTTGAGACAGAAAAAATAAATCTCGCTCTGTCGCCTAGGCTGGAATGCAGTGGCACGATCTCAGCTCACTGTAACCTCTGCCTCCCGGGCTCAAGCGATTCTCTTATCTCAGCCTCCCCAGTAGCTGGGATTACAGGCGTGCACCACCACTTCTGGCTAATTTCTGTATTTTTAGTGGAGACAGGGTTTCACCATGTTGGCCAGGCTGGTCTCAAACTCCTGGCTTCAAGTCATCTACTCGCCTCAGCCTCCTAAAGTGCTGAGATTACAGGCATGAGCCACTGTGCCTGGCCCTAAATCCTATTTTAAATGCACTAATAAAAACTAACATTTTATAAAATGGAGACTCGTGATAGTATCAATGACCACCCTGCTTGACTTGCTTTGTCAAACTGGGAATTTACACATCTGATTTTTTTCTTGGCATGGTGCTCCCTGCAAATTTGACATTCTTGTGCCACTGGCTCCCCTAACATATCTCACTGACAAATAACCGGAGATCCCGTTCCCTTACCAGTCACTGTCCTGATGGTCCAGGTGTTCAGAGTCTTATTTATTTATTTATTTAGAGACAGAATCTCACTTTGTCACCCAGGCTGGAGTGTAGTGGCGCCATTTCTGCTCACTGCAACCTCCTCCTCCTGGGTTCAAGTGATTCTCCTGCCTCAGTCTGCCAAGCAGTGGGACTACAGGCGCCCGCCACCATGCCCCACTAATTTTTATATTTTTAGTAGAGACAAGGTTTGGCCATGTTGGCCAGGCTGGTCTCAAACTCCTGACCTCAGGTGATCCGCCCGTCTCAGCCTCCCAAAGTGCTGGGATTACAGGTGTGAGCCACTGTGCCTGATCCAGGGCCTTATTATGACTTTTTTTTTTTTTTGAGAAGGAGTCTCGCTTTGTCACCTAGGCTGGAGTGCAGTGGCGCGATCTTGGCTCACTGCAAGCTCCGCCTCCCAGGTTCATGCCATTCTCCTGCCTCAGCCTCCGAGTAGCTGGGACTACAGACGCCCGCCACCACGCCCGGCTCATTTTTTGTATTTTTAGTAGAGACGGGGTTTCACCATGTTAGCCAGGATGGTCTCGATATCCTGACCTCGTGATCCGCCCGCCTCGGCCTCCCAAAGTGCTGGGATTATAGGCGTGAGCCACTGCGCCCGGCCTTATTATGAATTTTGTACCTCCCCAGCAGCCAACCTACAGTTCTGCCTCCTTCCCTCAGCTTTAGGGCACACTGACCAAGCCCATTCCCCAGATGCTCCCTACAATTAGTCTTTCTGCTCTAGATGGACAGGTCTCTTTCTTCATGTATTCTTACGCTTATTCATCTACCATATGGTAAATCTGTTCCCCCAAGGCCTGGGAACAAGGGTTTTCCAGTCCCTATACACAAAGGAAGTTCAGTAAGTCGTAATGTCTGCTGATACGGTACCCATGACACTAGAAAGAGGAGTTTCAACAGGCACAGAGGGGGACAACCTAGATGGGGCAGAGGTGACTAGGAATACTTCTTAGAGTGGGTAACACCTGAGCTAAGTCTTCATGGTTGGAGACGGCCTTGGTGGGAAATATCCAGACTCTCTCCCATCTCCGTGGCATCTAGGCCAGTCTACTGGATTGGCCATTCTTCCACCTAAACCCTACTAATCCTTTAGATAAGCTCAAGATGCAGCTTTGCTTTCTTGGAGCCTTCATAAACTAACTTATAAAAAGCACTCTTTTGCCCCTGAATTATCACTGTCTTTTAAAAGTTCAATTACAAGGCATTTTAAAGGTTTGCATCCTTTTGCAATCTGGAAGAGACTCAGACATCAGAATTCTCTCTGTATCTCATCCTAGGTTCAGTGAACCCTGAAGCTCACCGAATCAGAAGCGAGCGAAACCTAACCCAAAGCTCTCCTTCCCTATAGGCAGGGAAGACTTGACTATGAGATCTGAGTATCAGGGAGAATGGCAGGAATATACATGGAGTCACCTCAAAAGCCTTCCATGGCTTTGCTTCTCATGCCAGTTATGTGGCAGTATGCACGTGTCTTGTTTTGTTTTGTTTTCCTTTGTGGGGGAGGGGAATAAAGCCTGAAGGGAGAAGGAATTCATAACTGACTGTTGGCTGGCTTCATTCCAATCACTTTCTTTTCTGCTGGTGACAGCTGTTTTCCTCTTCTGATTTAGAAGGTCTGGAATAAGTCCCTCCCTGCCACGCCTCCCCGAGCTCAGCCACAAACTGATCCAACAGCAGGCTTCTGGTCTGGTGACTACAGAACACACACAGGAGGAAAGTCTGCAAGGCACAGTCTGCTGTCTGCCTGTGCTGCCTCACCTGTTTGCCTCCTGGGCTAAGTCTACAAAATTGTAAGGTATCAGAGTAGGCGCAAGCTCTGGGTGGTGTCCAATTCAGGTTATCATTTAAGTTTCCCATACAGAAAAACTAAACACATCATTTCCTACTACTTCTTCCTTTATAATAAACTATTTCTACTAAACAGTTCCTGAAATCCTGTCTCTACTGGGAAGATTCCAGGAATGGGAAGATCTACTTATACTCTGGCTGCCTCTGTACCATCTTGCAGGCCGATTTATGTGGCAGAAACCTTGCTGAAAGTCAAGGTTTTTCTAACTTTTGATAGTCTAGTGAGTTATATACTGTTACATAGTGTTTGTATTTTACAAATAAGAAAATTAAGGTTCAGAGTGGTTACACACCTTAAGGTCATATATGTTGTAAGTGGGTAAGAAGGGACTCAAAACCAGGTCCATCTCTCCAAATCCTGTCTTTGCTACTATGCCAAATTGCCTCCCATGGAATCAGAATGCCCACAGACCTTCCCTAGCTTTGCATCTCAGTGGGACCCTAGATACACGGTAAACTTACTGCTAATACCTCATACTACCAGGGAGGTCTCTGCTTCCTGCCTTATCTTCTGGGAAACCTGTGCTCCCTGGTCTATCAATATTATCAATATTCGACTCAGAGAGCAGGAGAGGATGATGTCCCTGTGGGATGCATGGTACCACGTGAAGCCAGTGAGTACCTAAGAAAGGGGTTTGTGGAAACCACAGGGGCAGTCAAGTGTCAGGCACCCACTCACCTGAGTCAATCCACCAATCTCCTTCACAGACACATAGAGGCGATAGAGGTCCAGAGGTTTCCTACCCACAGCAGGCAGATTTGTCATGCCCATGGCCTTCTCCTCAGTGAAGGCCAGATAACGGTCCACCCACATCTTCCTCTCAGGCTCACCACCCAGCTCATACAACTTGGTGATCTTCTCATTGGTTGTAGTAGAAGAACTGGATTTCTGGAAGGTTCAGGTCAAAATTCATAGGAATGGGTCAGATTCAAAGCCTATGCTAAGGGTCTCAGAAGTCTCTTCACAGGAGCAGTGTTAAAGCTTCTTACTCTGGGGTGGTCACTAACACCTGCCCTGCCTTCACAAGGTTGAAGGGCCAAAAAAGAACCAATTTTTTTTTTCCTATAAAGGAAGGAAGCTAACACTGAATATATGTTATGTACTGGGTGGGATGCTAGATGCCTTTATATATTAGATATTATAAAATTATCCCAATTTTTAAAGATAAGGAAGCAGGCACCAGGAGGCAAAGCGTAAGATCTCACAGCTTTTAAGTGGCAGGCTGAGGATCAAATCCTTGTCCATCTGACATCAAAGCCACTACTACTCCCACACTACTATCCAGGAGCCTGAACATACTTAGGTACTATGTTTTAGGTAAATCGAAAAACTCACAACATGATCTTGAGGCAATGGGATGGACTAAAATGAAAAGAAACTCTTTGCCTCTTCTAAAGAAAGGAAGGGTTTCCCACCTGGTTGAAGGGCTTTGGATATCATCCTGTCCAAGACAGGAGGATGGTCAAAAGGGCTGGGAGCTGGAGGTGAAAACTCATAGGAGGTAACAGCTATGATTTTTATTTTCCCTACGTATATAGATAGGGAAAGTGAGGTATGGCCAAGGACAGAAATATTTCAAATGACCCAAATGCTGAGTAGGACCCATTACTTCTGCACAGCCTAACAGCACACCCAGGACCAACCTAAGGGAAGCCAAGGAATCAAGTCTCATGTGCCTTATCTCCTTCTTTACAGTACACAGGGTACCATTCCTGCTGCCACGAGTAAGGTTCAGGAAGAGAAGAGCAACTAGTTGCCCATGGCACACCCCATCTATCAATGCTTGAGTACAGGAGGCACGGTTTCACAGAGGGCACCAGCCAAACAGTACAGAGTTTGATGCTGCAGGGTCTGGCATTTCCCCCATAACAAACAGCTGTGAGAATATTATGTTATTTACCAGGATCCCTTAGACCAACCCAGACCCAACTCACTGAGCTATTATTCTGAGACCCTTCATGATAAGAGGAGGCAACAGCAGCTTTTTCAGAGACTATCTAGTCCGGTGTCATAAAAGGCTGGGATCTTGTCTCTCTCTTTTCTTTTTCCTTCCTACCACTGAAAAAGATAGGACACAAAATTGAAAGAGTCAAGACAAAAATTGCTACCTTGGATTTGGATTCTGTCTTGGGTGTCCCGTCTGCCTTGTTGTTCATTTTGGTGGCTGGAGTTAACTTGACATCCCCAAGGCCCATCATCTCTGGGCTGGCTGCCATCCCTGTAAAAGAGAAAAAAATTCTCAAGACCAGTAAGTTTAGCTGTGATGTGACTCTTGAAGAAATCCCTAGTGAGAATGACTAGCACTTACCTGCAGAATTGTTGGCCATGGTTCCACCCATGGAATATGGGGGTCCCTGAGGGTTGATCATGCCAGCCATACTATTAATCCCTTGTCCATAAGGAGGTCCAGTTCCCATCATGCCCCCTTGATTCATATTGGGGTAGCCTGGCGGCCTAAGGAAGAAGATGGAAAGTGAGAGAGACAAAGGTTAGACTCTGGGCTTTTAGATTTGAACTTGAGCCAAATAATGCTGTGTGATCATCTAGTTAGGATTAAAAGGAAAACACTGATGGGTCCCCAAAACTAGAACTATGCAACATCCAGATATTATTTTTCTTTATTTTCTTGAGATACGGTATTGCTCTGGCACCCTGGCTGGAGTGCAGTGGTGTGATCACAGCTTTTTGCAGCCTTCAACTCCTGAGCTCCAACGATCTGCCTTCCTCAGCCTCCTGAGTGCCTAAGACTATGAGGCATGCACCACCATGTCCAGCTAACACCCAGATTCTCTTATCTTCTACATCCCACAAAAGATACTAAGAGAGTTCAAGTTCTGGATAGCGAACAATAGTTTATTTAATTTTTTTTTTTTTGAGATAGAGTCTCGCTCTGTTGCCCAGGCTGGAGTGCAGTGGCATGATCTCGGCTCGCTGCAAGCTCCGCCTCCCAGGTTCACGCCATTCTCCTGCCTCAGCCTCCCAAGCAGCTGGGACTACAGGTGCCCGCCACCATGCCTGGCTAATTTTTTGTACTTTTAGTAGAGACAGAGTTTCCCCGTATTAGCCAGGATGGTCTCAATGTCCTGTCCTCGTGATCTGCCTGCCTCGGCCTCCCAAAGTGCTGGGATTACAGGGGTGAGCCACCGTGCCCGGCCAATTTTTTTTTTTTTTTAGATGGGAGTTTCATTCTTGTCGCCCAGGCTGGAGTGCAATGGTGCGATCTTGGCTCACTGCAACCTGCAACCTCCACCTCCCAGGTTCAAGCGATTCTCCTGCCTCAGCCTCCCAAGTAGCTGGGATTACAGGTGCCCACCACCATGCCTGGCTAATTTTTTGTATTTTTAGTAGAGATGGGGTTTCGCCATGCTGGGCAGGCTGGTCTTGAACTCCTGACCTCAGGTCATCCACCTGCCTTGGTATCCCAAAGTGCTAGGATAACAGGAGTGAGCCACTGCACCCAGCCACAATAGCTGAATTTCAAAGGGTACAATTCTTTGAAGCAGAGCCCTGCTGTGTCTTTCAAGTACTGCCTTCCTCAAAGCCACCTCCAAAGTCAAGTTGTATTTCCATTTAAGGGCCCTGTCTGTGGCAAAAGACATAGATGAAATGCCGAACTGTACCACTTTTTGTCATGCTAAATTCCAGACTGGAACCCTCAGCATATCACCCAGAGGTGGCTTTGCATTATTTCTTGATGGGCTAATGCAAACTTTGCACTTCCATCTTTCTGAAGTTCTACCAAATCCAGCTCTTTATAGTCAATCACCCTATTTTACCTTGGTTCATCAACAACTCAATAAGATTTAGTGGCCAAAGAAGTCGTTAAACCTAATCACGTGAGCCTTCTGCACTCTAGCACCAGAGTCAACACACAGGACCACATAAAACAGTAAGAGAAATGGCAAACCACAAGCTTACCATTTGCTATTTCTAACACCAAAGATCCAAGACATATGTATCATTAAGAATCCTTTTGGAAACCAAAATGTTGACTGATAGAAGTTAAACCACCTACTCTGAACACTTATTTTGCAAATCAAAATAAGCTGTCTTTAGCCCTGGCAACATAGTGAGACCCCATATCTATTTAAAAAAAAAAAAAAAAAAAAAAAAAGGCTAGGCATGGTGGATCATGCCTAGCACTTTGGGAGGCCAAGGCAGGCAGCTCGCTTGAGGTCAGGAGTTCGAGACCAGCCTGGCTAACATGGTGAAACCCAGTATCTACTAAAAATATAGAAACTAACAGGGAATGGTGGCGGGTGCCTGTAATCCCAGCTACTCGGGAGGCTGAGGCAGGAGAATCGCTTGAACCTGGGAAGCAGAGGTTGCAGTGAGCTGAAAGTACATCACTGCACTCCAGCTTGGGCAATGGAGTGAGACTCTGTCTCAAAATAAGTAAATAAATAAATAAAAATAAAAAATAAAAAATAAATTAGCCGTGTGTGGTGGTGTGTGCCTGTAGTCCCAACTACTCAGAAAGCTGAGGTGGGAGGATCACCTAAGCCTGGGAGGTCAAGGCTGCAGTGAACTGTGGTCATGCCACTGCAATTCAGTCTGGGGAACAGAGCAAGGCCCTGTCTCAAAAGATCCCAAAACAAAACAAAACACTCCACAAAAACCTTTTTTCTTTTCTTCTATTTTTTTTTTTCAGTCTAGTTCTGTCGCCCAGGCTGGAGTGCAGTGGCACAATTTCGGCTCACTGCAGCTTCCGCCTCCTGGGTTCAAGCGATTCTCCTGCCTCAGCCTCCTGAGTAGCTGGGATTATAGGCGTGCACCACCACACCCAGTTAATTTTTGCATTTTTAGTATAGACGGGGTTTCACCATATTGGTCAGGCTGGTCTCAAACTTCTGACCTCATGATCTGCCCGCCTTGGCCTCCCACAGTGCTAGGATTACAGGCGTGAGCCACCATGCCCAGCCAAAACCCTGTTTTTTTATAAAGTTCTTTACATATGATATTTAGTCATGTGAAATTTCAGACCCATCTAAGACACGTAAGAATTAACACTTCATACACACACCCATTTCCCCCCCCCGATTTAGGTCCAGAAGCATCTCAATAATCTGAGTGGGTCTACAATACATTTTCTAGAACTGACACCCTCTCCACTTCCCAGGCCTTACCTGTTTTGGATAGAGTTGGCAGCAACATGCATGGCGACAGCAGTTTCTTGGGTTTTCCGGTTCATGCCCCCTGGTGGGGGGCACATCCCTGACCCAACCTGAGGTGGCATATTGGCCATGTTAGGGCCATAAGGCCGGTTGCCCATGGAGGCGTGACTCATCCTCCCTGGAGGGAGTGTGCCGTAAGGTGGGATGCCAGGCTGTCCATGCATCTGACCTCCGGCACCCATGGGGTTTATGCCTCCAGCCATGCCTGCACTGGGGTAGTTGGCATTGGGCAAGGCATTATAGTTTGGCTGCCTGGGGTAGCCACCTGAGAGGGGAGGAAGAGAAGACAGAGACTTGGTTAGTGACTCACTAGCAACTCACTAATATCTCTCAACTCTAGAACACCAAACAATGTCATTCAATATTTTGGTTAGGAAAGAGACCAACTTCATGGTAGCCTTTATCTCCATGAGAAAAAGTGGGGGGGTGCCAGAAGCATGTAAAGGCAGGTCAGTTATCCCCTCCATCTTAAAGGCAGCACAGAGCAAGGCTGGCTTTGCTGCCACACAGGCACTTCAACTTCCAGAAGAAGATAACTTCCTTTCTATCTCCATGCTCTGTGTAAGATACTCAACTTTTGATCTGCCTAGGGCTGCAATTTTGAGCAAAGATCTATTCCATTATGACTTATTCACTAAAAATAATTTTAAAAAATAACCAATAGCTACCATGTATTAATTGTCTGTGCTCAATGGTGGAGTAAACACCTTATCTCCATTTTTACAAATGAAACAGAGGCTCAGTGAAACTGAAACACTTTCTCATGGTGACGGAGTAAGTGGAGACAAATGGAATCTTTCCTTGCCCTTCTTCAAGGGCCTGGCCTGGGTGGATTTAAGGCAAAGGACAGCCCTTCTCTCACAAGGTTACAAGCTAGATGGCAACATATCAGACAAGGAACTGTTTTCTCCTCTCACCCCTATCTACTCCTAACTGGGTAGTATACTGACCTTGTGGGCCATACTGACCCCCCTGGGGACCATAGCTCCCCATGGAGTTCTGCTGGTAGGAGCCCATGCCTGTGTGTATCTGTCCTCCGGAAGGCTGACGCGGAGATAAGGCTGAGCCGGGCTGGGGGGAACTGTACTGGGGCATCTGGGGGTTCCTCTGCATATAACCTATTTGTGGGTAGTATCCATATAGTTATTAGCTTTATACAATGCGAACAAATGCTCTCCCTCCTTATCCTGGGATTTTACCATCTACATTTTCTTTAGCAGCTACTTGCATGGAGTCTCTATCTGATTTTCTATACAGTGGTGTGTCATTTTAGGCACCTTCAGAGTGACATAAGCCATTAACCAGGGCATGCCAACTGTTTCTGCTAAGTGGAGGTTTGAAAAGACAAAAAGGAATGACAAAAACCAAAATGAATGACTTAACGAGTAAAGACCAAATGTTGAGTCTTCAGCAACTGCCGACCACATGAGGCAAAATGTAAGAGGGCAACCATCAAAACAGAGATAAGTACTGAGAAATGGAGACACTAACATGGCCAAGCCCACTCTAACTTCACAATTTGCTGCTGGCTCTCAGCACAAAGAAGTAGTAAGTGTTTGAGATTATATATCTGCTAATTACCCTGATCTGATCACTATACGTTATATCTATTGAAACATCACTATGTTCCCCATAAATAAGTACAATTATCATGTCAACTTTTAAAGAATATAAAAACAATTTGCTGCAGGGATTGTCCTAAGCTTCATGGTCAAACAGCTCTCTAAAAGTTACTGCACAGGGCACTCAAATGTCTGTCCTAGCTCCCTGCCCCTCCCCAACACCCAGGCTCTCACCTCGATCTTGGGCAATGCTTGATTGGTTCATGGAAGGATGCATGATGCTGTCCGACTGGCCACTGGGTGGCCGAGGTGGCATCTGGTTGCCTGCTCCAGACAAAGAACCACATAAGAATATCATGGCTAAGCCTGGAAATTCTAGCTAGGTAGTCAATTCAGAGCTAGAAATGGCTCATGGAGAGGCCAAGTACCTCCCAGTATCACACACACAGAGATCCAGCCAACAGGTTCCAATCTCCCTTCTCCAAATGCTAAGGGGGAAACTATGCAAGCATGAGCCAGAGATGCTTTCTCTGCCAGGGGAAGACTAGGACTCCTTAATATTACTGGGGGCAGTCACCTTTCCCTCTCCCTAAAGCCCAGCACTTGAGGGTACCTGGCACTGCAGCAGGCGAGAGTGGTCCTGAGCGAGACTGAGCAACACTGGCGGGAGAGCCAACAGGGGACGGGGAGGGGCCTCGGATGCCAGGCAGGTGAGGGGAAGTATGAGGAGAAAAAGGAGACTGAGCTGGATTACTCTGCTCTCCTTGGCTGCTGGAAATCCCTGATGTGCTCACTCCAGGACTCAGAGCTCCTTCTGTCCCCATGGGGAGGTCATCTATTGAACCAGATAGATCCTAGAACATATACATAAGAACATGGATTAGTAATATTAGGCAGAAAGATTCTACTATCAATAATCCTACTACTTGCTTAGCATTTTCCTTAAATAATCAAGACAAATACATCACACACGTTCTTTACTCATGATACTATTTTTATTTAAAAAAAAAAAAACAAACAATTTTTTTTTTTTTTTTTTTTGAGACAGAGTTTCGCTCTTGTTGCCCAGGCTGGAGTGCAATGGTGCGTCTCAGCTCATCGCAACCTCCGCCTCCCAGGTCCAAGTGATTTTCCTGCCTCAGCCTCCTGAGTGGCTGGGATTACAGGCATGTGCCACCACGCCCGGCTAAATTTTTTGTATTTTTAGTAGAGACGGGTTTTCTCCATGTTGGTCAGACTGATCTCGAACTCCCGACCGCAGGAGGCCCTCCTTGGCCTCCCAAAGTGCTGAGATTACCGGCGTGAGCCACCGCACCCGGCCCTAGTCATAATACTATAATTTACATATGGCAAACTCTGTTAAGGACCAGGTGGAATATGTATTAGACCTTGGTGGGCCATAAAGCCTCCTTCAAAACTATTCAACTCTGACACTATAGTGCAATAGTAGTGAGACAATATACAAACAATGGTGTGACTGAGTTTTGCTGATTCCTTTTCTATCCTTCTATCCCCTCAGAAGCAGATCTAGCACTTTCGTCTTCTTTCCCAGTCCTAACTTCCATCGTCATAAGAAAGCAACTACTTCAGTGAGGCTTTAGTTCTTTTCCAATAGCAGAACTTTACAAAATGCTGCCAGGATGGTACCAAGAGCTACAAGAGAATGTTAACAAGTTTGGGAAACATTTATAGATCCCCTCTACTTCTATTATATATTAGAATGATGATGATTATTATAGATTATCATAGCCTCCATTTGCCAAGGACTCACTCCAAGTCACCATACTTTACAACATAAGGGGTAGGAGGTAAGAAAGAGATACATTGGATGAGAAAGGCAATTTCTTAACCGCCAAGAAGGTCTGGGACTATACTCCTAACACCTGGTCTATAACAGTAATCAACAAATGTTTGCCAATTGAACAAATTCTGTTTTTTCCCAGCTTTTATGTTTTTCAGTGAGAACTTGGTATTTATTTGTAGGCTTTGCTTGTCTTGAATTAATCAATAAAGAGTTCACTCTAAGTCAACAAACTCCAGTATTAGCAAACAGGAGCTCAATATGAAAAATATTCACCCCAGAAAATATACCCTAACTCCATCCCCTGCCCCATGTTCATTCTCTAGCTAGCAACATTACTTCAGGCTTGGAACTAACTATAATTGAAGAAAGGATGAAAACCCTGATACTTAAATGGTAAACAAAAGAGTTCTCTTAAACACACTGGGTCACATGCAGTGGCTCCTTTTGGAAGGCTGAGGCAGGCAGATCACTTGAGCCCAGGAGTTCGAGACCAGCCTGGGCAACACGGCAAAACCCTGTCTCTGCTAAAAACACCCCAAAAAATAAGCCAGGTGTCGTAGTGTGCAGCTGTAGTCCCAGCTACTTGGGAGGCTGACGTGGGATAATCTCTTAAGCCAGTGAGGAGGAGGCTATAGGGAGCCAAGATTGTACCACTGCACTCCAGCATAGGTAACAGAGCAAAACACCGTCTCGAAGACAGACAAAAACAAAACTGAAAACACCACACATCTCGAGGAGGAGGAGATCCAAGTTGGTTTGAGTCTATTCCTGCTCCAATAAACGAGCTCACCCTGGAAAGATCAGCTGAAAGTGACTTTGACACTAAGATCTGACAGTTAACACTGGAGGTCAGAGGGTACCTTTTAGGCTCTCCTTCAAGTATCCAAGCTGGGTGGACCTTCCACAAACCACTTGGTACCTCACTAGGCTGGGAGCATTTCTGCTGAGCTCTTGGAGACAAAGTTTGCTCTGAAGGCAGGTAGATAGGTATGCATTTGTGCCTGTGTCCAGCTTTCCATGTTAGTTGAGAAGTCAGAAAATGCTAGCTTTCTTTTTTGTTAAGAAGTAGGCCAGGCATGCCACAGCATACTTTAAAAATGCAATGAGAATTAGTTCCACCATAGAACGATTTCAAGAGGTCAACCACGAGGTAACAGCAAAGGACATCTTCCTTTCTTGAAGCACTAAAGTACCTGGAGCTATGAAGAGCCCCACGTTAGTCCCAAGAGAGAGGGACTCCATCCTTGGTTCTTCTTCTTTTTTTTTTTTTTTTTTTTTTTTTTTGAGACAGGGTCTCACTCTGTTACCCCAGGCTGGAGTACACTGACACGATGCCAGCTCCCTACAGCCTCAACCTGCCCAGCTCAAGTGATCCTCTTACCTCCACCTCCCGAGTAGCTGGGACTACAGGCATGCGCCACCACATATGGCTCTGTGTGTGTGTGTATAGGCATGCGCCACCGTGTGTGTGTGTGTGTGTGTGTGTGTGTGTGTGTGTGTAGAAGAGATTCTGCCATGTTGCCCAGGGTGGTCCCAAATTCTTGGGCTCAATCCTCCCACGCTGGCCTCCCAAATTGCTGATATGATAGGCATGAGTCACCGGGCCCAGCCCCATCCCTGTTTTGATGCCTAAGTTATACCACAGACATCTAGCCTCTGAACCAAGAACAAACTAAAAGAGGCAACAAGATGACAAGGAGAGCCACTGTAAGTAGAAAGGGCCTCAAAAAGCACTCATTAGGCCCTACAGTCTACAGCAAATCCCACAGCTCAATGCTCTGTTTTAGGGATCAGCAGGTTCCCTAACGTACTCCTTACTACAGTCTCCATTCCTTATCAAACTGCCAACTTTTGGTAATAAGAACTTTCCTGCTTACAGGAAAAAGAAGTGTATTTCAGAACAGAATAGGAATCAAGGATCCATCCATCAGACGAGAACTTGGTTCAGTTCAAATCGCTTTGAAAAATTAAATGTTGGCCAGGCGCAGTAGGTCATGTCCGTAATCCCAGCACTTTAGGAGGCCGAGGTGGGCGGATCACGAGGTCAGGAATTTGAGACCAGCCTGGCCAACATGGCGAAACCCCATCTCTACTAAAAATACAAAAATTACCCGGGCATGGTGGTGGGCACCTGTAATCCCAGGTACTCAGGAGGCTGAGGCGGGGAGAATTCCTTGAACCCAGGAGGCGGAGGTTACAGTGAGCCAAGATAGCACTACTGCATTCCAGCCTAGGAGACAGACTGAGACTCCGTCTCAAAAAACAAAAAACAAAAAACAGTTTTGATCATTTTTGTCTTTAGTTATACAAGTAAAACATGAACAGTCTCATGAAAAACACATTTCAGATATTACAGGTGAAGCCAGAGTCCCCTACACCAAAGTTCCCCAAGCTGTCTTTCTGTTGCCCTCAATAGAGAAACCACTGTTCAATTTGGTGTGCATCTTTGTGTGTTTTTTTTTTTTTTGTTATTTTTATTTTTTATTTTTAGAGAAAGGGTCTCGGTCTGTCACCTAGGCTGGAGTGCAGTGGCATGATCTCAGCTCACTGCAACCTCCACCTCCCAGATTCAAGCGATTCTCCTGCCTCAGCCTCCTGAGTAGCTGGGATTAGAAAAATTAAATGTTTTGTTTTGATCATTTTTGTCTCTAGTTATACAAGTAAAACAAACATTCTCATGATAAAAACATTTCAGATATTATAGGTGAAGCCAAAGTCCCCCATGGCTGTCTTTCTGTTGCTCTCAATAGAGAAACCACTGTTCAATTTGGTGTGTATTTTCTTGGATTTTTTTTTCTTTTTTTTTTTTTTTTAAGAGACAGGGTCTAGGTCTGTCACCCAGGCTGGAGGGCAGTGGTAAGATCTTGGCTCACTGCAACCTCCACTTCCTGGTTCAAGTAATTCTCCTGCCTCAGCCTCCTGAGTAGCTAAGATTACAGGTTAATTTTTGTATTTTTTAGTAGAGACGGGGTTTCACCACGTTGGCCAGGCTAGTCTTGAACTCCTGACCTCCAGTGACCCGCCCACCTTGGCCTTTCAAAGTGCTGGCATTACAGGCATGAGCCACCATGCCTGGCCCCCAGCTAATTTTTAAATTTTTTTGTAGAGATGGGGCCTTGCCATGTTGCCCAGGCTTGTCTTGAACTCCTGGGCTCAAGCGATCTGCCCTTCTCAGCCTCCCAGTGTTCTAGGATTACAGGCATGAGCCACCACCACTGGCCTTGGTGTATATCTTTGGAAGTGCTAAGAAAAAAAACCAAACAAGAAACAAAACAAAAAACCAAAACCTGGCCGGGTGCGGTGGCTCACGCCTGTAATCCCAGCACTTTGGGAGGCTGAGGTGGGCGGATCATGAGGTTAGGAGATGGAGACCATCCTGGCTAACATGGTGAAACCCCATCTCTACTAAAAAAGACAAAAAATGAGCAGGGCGTGGTGGCGGGCGCCTGTAGTCCCAGCTACTTGGAAGGCTGAGGCAGGAGAATGGTGTGAACCCAGGAGGTGGAGGCTGCAGTGAGCCGAGGAGATCGTGCCACTGCACTCCAGCCTAGGCAACAGAGTGAGACTCCGTCTCAAAAATAAATGAATACATACATACATACATACACACACACACACACACACACACACACACACACACACATACACATACATACAAACCCACCAACCACTCCTATCAGCTCACGGCAGGAACTGAGGAGGTCCCTTCAGCTACATTTACAATTAAAAAACCAGGCTCGCCATAGATCCACAAGGAGAATGCCCCTGCTCCACCTGAGGGATCCTAGAAGCCTAAAGAAAACCTTTGTAGCTCTTGGGGCTGGGGTCTCAGAACTCTGGAGGCATCTGTGGCTGGCAAAGATGTGGCTTTCCCTTCTTCAGGAGAGCTGTCACTTTTGGTAAAGTGCCCTGAGCTTCTTGGAGAAAAAGTGCTAAATAAACCACTGTCAACAGTAGTCCCACCTGGCTGGGATGCCTGGGCATAGAAAAATACTGGGGAAGGAAGAGCATTAATCTTCTTATCTCTCTGATTTGGTTGGCTTGGGGCCA